GATTGGGTTGCCTCTCCAATCCCAGTTCACATGGTTATAGCAAGTACAACCGAGTTCTAATAACAAGCACAGTTTAGGCAGAGGGCAGGGAGAGGTGTGGAGGAATGTTTCCAGGTGTCTGGGTGGGCACAGAGAAAACTCAGTAGCTGCTGGTGGCTTATTTTCCATTAAGAGGAGGAGGAAGGAAGGAAAAGCAGTGAGGAACAGAGAGAGCAAGTGTATGGTGCTGTCCCCGGAGTCCCCGGTCACAACCGCCGGATTCCATTAGACACCCCCGAATCTTTACCAAAAATGTCTCCTCCTGCTTATCCCACTCAGGTGGATTCCTATTACTTAAAGCCAAAATTAGCCTACTTAACACCACCACCACCTACTCATCCCAAAAAGGGACATTTAACACCAAAACCTCAGGAAGAGTAGAACCTCACACTTTTTTTGCTGCTGTTGTTTAAAAGGGAATGTTTATTGAATGGTTGCTGTGTACTGGGAACAGATCTAAGTCCTTGAATTATTATGACGTTAAACAGAAGGGATAAAACCACTCTTTTCTCATGGGGCTTACATTCTAGAGAAAACATACAATAATAAAATAAATTCCAGTTGTGCTGCAGAAAAGCATTTATAAAGGGGTGGTGGGGGATGAGGACAGTGTCATTTTGAAAGGGTGGTTAGATGACACTGCTTGTCTGAAGAGGTAATATTTGAGTGGAAACCGGAAATGATGGAAAGAAACCAGTCGTGTACTGCTTTAGGAAGAGGACTGCAGGCAGAAGAAACAGTTCAAAGTCAGAAACACGCCAGGACATTGCTGAGGGACATCCCAGAGGGCAGCGTCGATGGAACACCGTGAACACAGGAGTGAGAAAGAACTGGCAGAGGAGGAACCGACCTGAGAGGAAAAGGTGTAAGGTGAGGAAGTAAGTAGGGATCTGATCGGGTATAGAAACGAGCAGGCAGTGGAAAGGACTTGAAAATAACATGAGCTTTATGAAAAGCTCACTATATTATCTTTAATTTTCATTTTGCCTCACATCAGTGATAACTTTAACACCCGGGTCTTTAGAAATTATCATCCCCAAGTATTTGACACAATCCTGACATTAGCCAGGAATAAGTGTTTCTAATGCAGAAAATCGCTCTTCTCATACACTTTGAATTTTTTTTTTTTTAACCTTAGAACAAAATCAAAGCCACCTGAAAGGAAACAAGAAGAATCTAGGATAACAGGATGATAGAAACTACTTTAAATTCTATCTGGTTTATTATGTTACGAGTGAATCTACTATGAACAAGACTGTACGAAGGTAGAGGAAGAACATTAAAAGTTAAGTTCCAGGCTCCAGGAAACATAGCGTCCTTTGCTAACCGCATTCACTATTACTGAACTGGATATTACCATGGTTAAAAACCGTCAGCTGAGAAAAAGTGAAAGCTAGACTTCTGACTGCGAGAATAGCCACTGATTACTGGTCAACAAAGTTTCAAGTTTTAATCCTATCTCTATTACTATGATAAGGAAGAACTTCCTCTATGTGGTGAAATTAAATACACCAGATGCTTCAAAATCTCTCCTCGGAAAGCTTCTGAGACCGGAGACAATCGGTTTAAAGAGCTGTAGGTAGAGGACACCCCACAGAAGACAGATGCTCTCTCCAGACCTTTCCAGAGAACCAAGTGTGTACACTAAGCCAGTAATTACACCTACACCGCTTCTAAGATAAACGCCGGTCAGGTCAGATCTTTGAAAGCTCTGATGTGTTCATGAATCTCCTCTTTCACTGTGTGAGATACTTAGGTAGCCCACTTAACGGCAGACCAAACGTAGGCTGATATCAATAACACAATCTATAAAGGGAGGTGCTGTGAGAGATGTGAGCTAATGAAATAAAAGTCATTACACACCTTGAGCTAGACTCGATTCTGAGTGCAGCCTCCTCAGCACATCTCCAGCCTTTGAGCAGCTGGGGCTTGTGAGGGAGGGATGTGCTCCATCCACCTGAATCGTATGTAAAGTCTCCCCCCAGTGGCCACACACAGATAACAGACAGAGCAGATCGCTGCAGCTCCTGCGCCGCTGACCAAAAACCTCTGAGCAAACCCTGGTCCCCACAAGAAAGACATAAAGCCTTCAGTTCTGTGCTGGCACCTATCAGTGAGGAGGTCTGTTATACTAACCTGCTCTTAGGACATCCATAAATGTGAGGACTATTTCTGGACGACAAGAAGCTACAGGTAAAACAAAACTAGCATAGTTTTTCTCGGTGTGATTTTTTAAAGGAATAGCTTAAGAGTATTCTCCAACAGCGCAATGTTTGTTTCACCCTAATGGGCAGTGTTCGTCCTTCCTGAGAGATACCAGCACGTCTCCTGCAAGTTAACCGCACCCACCTGAAGCCGAGTTCTGATACAAGTGTAGGCACTTACCAAATAAATCACCTTGGAAAAGGAAATTATCATCGGTAGTATATACCTAATGTCTCATTTGCAAAACAATGCTTTTCAAAAACCACCTACAAGTAGGTAATTTATAATAAAGTAAGTGATGTCAAAAATACAAATGGGTCCTCTTTTAATATTTATTTTCTTGGTGTTTTTGTAATTAGATAGCCTTTGAATAGCACTATCCCTGGTTTATTTGCAACTTCCAGCAATAATCTGCTATTACTTTTAACAAGGCTTGGGTGTAAAAAACGTGAAAGGGCCTTTAATTAAAATGTGGGTTGTCTTCTGTTAACCATCCATTATTAAATGGCGAAGTATATAAATAACCTTCAACAAATAAACAACTCCAATTTTTAAAAAGGCTTTTAAATAAGGTAACATAAACAGACAGGGTCTCACAACTATCATTTTCTTGGTTATCCCCAGCTAAGAAGAGGGAAGAAAGGAAGGGACAGCAGCCTGCTGTGTAGTCTTCTGGAATAATTTTAGCCTGAAATGAGACTCCGGAAAAAAAGCAAAAAAAAAAAAAAAAAAAAAAAGCAATATGATTCATTTTTAAAAATCCAACAGTTGGCCTAGAAAAGAGGGGGGGAAAAAAAGATTCTGTCTTGCATGGAGCTATCAGACTTGCTTACGCACCTTAATTTTTCCAGTGTTTAATCTAGAACGTAAAAAAAAAAAAAATCATTTTGAAAGTCTAAGAGGGAAAAGAATTAAGGTGGCACCAATCAGAAGGGGACTTTCCCCCCCACCCCCCCATCGCTTCAGTATCTACAGGACGAAACAGAGCAACTAAAAGTATTACCACTTGTGCATTATGTAACCCTAGCCTTCCATAGACAAGGACTTTACAGTCACACATTCTGCAAACACGTATTTACCCACGGATTTAAATATATGACACATTTCAGGTACAAATGACCTCAAAATGACACCACCCATAAAAGTTCCCTGTTGACTGCATTAGGGCCTCAGAAGGCAAGACTAGAACCAGGCCTGATGCCCTGACACTGCCCAGGAGATGCCTCCGTGAGGTCTGGTGCCCTCAGACCCGTTCCCTGCAAGGACCTCCGCGTTGGTCACAAGCCTGATACCTCGCCTGACATCCCCGCGACACACGAGGCTCTACACGCCCATGTCACAGACTTCGGGGGGAGCAATGGCTGCTAAGTCATGTTCCAGCCGAGGAGCAGGTTAAGGGTCCCCGGTGCTCCGAGCCTCAGGAGCCCGAAAGTGCAGCCCAGCCAGCCCCAGAGCCGCAGGAAGGAGGAGAGCGCGGCCAGCCTGACCTCTCCGGGCTGCGGGGAGTGAGCGCGGGGGCTCCGGGCCTCCCCACCTGCAGCCCCGCCGCCCGCCCGCCGCCGCGGCGCCCCAGCTGCTGCCAGTTTCAGGGCTGACGTCCCGGGAGCCGGTGCGATGGAGACGCAACTCCCACCCAAGTGTTAACAAAGTCCTGCAGATCCATCCTCTCCGTCATCCCGCCGATCCACAGCCCTCCTCCCCCACCGATCCCTCCAGCGGCTCCCCCACCCCGGCCCCCCGGCCCGGCCAGAGGCACCCCAAACCGCGGCGAGCGCGGGCGCCTCCCCGGTTCCTTCCAGGTCCATGTGCCCGGGACGGGGAAGCGCCGCGTGGGCAGCGGCCGCCCCGGAGCGGCGTGCGGGCCCGGCACCCTCCGGCTCGGCACCCTCCAGCGGCTCCCCTCCGGCCCGGCACCCCTCCGGCCCGCACCCTCCGGCCCGGCACCCTCCGGCCCGCACCCCTCCGGCCCGCACCCTCCGGCCCCGCACCCTCCGGCCCGCACCCTCCGGCCCGGCACCCTCCGGCCCGCACCCCTCCGGCTCGGCACCCTCCGGCGGCTCCCCTCCGGCCCGCACCCTCCGGCCCGCACCCCTCCGGCTCGGCACCCCTCCGGCCCGCACCCTCCGGCCCGCACCCCTCCGGCTCGGCACCCCTCCGGCCCGTACCCTCCGGCCCGCACCCCTCCGGCCCGTACCCTCCGGCCCGCACCCCTCCGGCTCGGCACCCTCCGGCCCGCACCCCGGGGAGCTCTGGCGCCCGGGAAGCGGCGGCGGGAGCAGCAGGGAGCCCTCTCCCCTCTCCTCCCGGGGACGGGCCAGACGCGGCCAGGAGCCGGCCCGCTCCGGGCGGACCCGAAGGTGACGGCCACGGCCGCCCCCGCCGCGGCTCCCGTTCAGCCCGGTCCCGGCCCGGGCCCCGGCCCCGGCCCGGGAGCGGAGGGGGAGCGGCGGCGGCGGCGGCACGCGCCAGGCACGTTGTCGCGCTCCGGCCGCCGGGGGCCGGGGCCGGGGATCGGGGAGCCGGGGGCTGGGGCTGGGGCTGGGGCCGGGATCCGGGCAGCCCTCCCCGCCCCGTCGGCCCCGGCCCCGGCCCCCGGCTCCCCGAACCCCGGCCCCGGCCCCCGGCGGCCGAGCCCAGGTGCGGGGGGCGGGGCGGCCCCGGTCCGCGTGGCGCGCGGCGACCAGCAACAGGGCGCCCCCGCCCGGCCCCGGCGCGGCCAGACCGTTACCCGCGGACCCGGGACCCCGGCCACTCACCGGCTGGGACGGCCGCTCCTCTCCCTCCGGCAGCTCCTCTCCCGCCGCCGCCGCTCCTCAGCCGCCGCCTCCGGGCCGCTCCTCTCCCGCCGCCGCCGCCGCCGCCGCTCCTCAGCCGCCGCCTCCGGGCCGCTCCTCTCCCGCCGCCGCCGCCGCCGCCGCTCTCCTCAGCCGCGGCCGCCGCGCAGCCCCATCCGCGAACTCCGGCGCGGAGTTGGGGACGGGAATGCGGCTCCGCTCCCCGCTCGCCCCGCGCCGCCTCGGCTCGGCCGCCACGCGCGCGGCCGCCGCCTCCTCCCGCTCCTCCCGCCGCCGCCGGGCGCGCTCCCTCCTCCCCGCCCGCCCCGCGCGTGCGCGGACGTCGGGAGCGCGCCGGGCGCCGGGAGCGCGCTCGGCCGCGAGGGGGCGCCGCCGCCTCCGGGCCGCCGGCCCCGCCCCCGCCGCGGGCCCAGGTGGAGGCTCCGAGCGCCCCCGGCGGCGCCCGGCCTCTCCCGCCTCCCCGGGGCCCGGGCCCACCTCCCGCCCCGGGGCTCCGGCCGGATCGCGCCGCCCCTCGGCCGCTCCTGATGGGCAGGGGGACCCCACGGGCCCGGGAGGCTGCTCCCCGCCCTTCCCCGGAGTCTGCACCCAGAGACCCGGGTGTGTGTGTGTGTCTGTGTGTCTCTGTGTGTGTGAGTGTGTGAGTGTGTGTGTGTCTGTGTGTGTGAGTGTGTGTGTGTGTGTGTGTCTGTGTGTGAGTGTGTGTCTGAGTGTGTGTGTGAGTGTGTGTCTGAGTGTGTGTCTGAGTGTGAGTGTGTGAGTGTGTGTGTGTGAGTGTGTGTGTGTGTGTGTGTGTGAGTGTGCACCTCCGTGCAGCCCACGGTGTCCGCGGATGTTCTCCCAAAGGCCCCGCCGGGGGTGTTCACACCAGCAAATGGACAGACACGGGCTCCTTTCACAGCCCCGGGGCCCGGGGAGCCCCCCCCCCCCCCCCCGACACACACCCCTGGCTCAGCTCCTGCCAAGCATCTGCTCCCCAGACCTCCGCGGGGGCCCTGCACCCTCCGCCTCGCCTCCGCCCGGAGGGGTGACGGGGTGAGGGTCCGGGGTGCTGGTGGCAGGTTTAATTTGTCCCTTTGGAAGGGACGGAGCCATGCAGGCTGCAGCGAGGCAAGCACAGGACTGGGATTTCCCTTCACATCTGCCTCAGCCCCCAGAGGTCTCCCTGGGAACCTCACTCAGACCTGGGGGGGGGGGGGGGGGGCGGGCTTTGGAGGAGGAGGATGTTATTTACATTTTAGGAAATGTGTTTCCTGCATTCTTTTCAAACCGTGAATGCAGAAAGAGCGAGTAAAACTGGACAGGAGAGGAATGCCCCGTCAGGTGACCTCCAGCAGGCCGCCTCTCCGGGCTTCTCTGGGGCACGCTGCACCTCCTGCACAGAGCAGGCGTTTGGTAAAGGTCTGCAGAGCCAGGGAGTGCCTGCGGCCTGGTGGGCTCAGTGAGGAGTTTCAAGCTGTATGGTCCACACCCCCTCCCCTCCCCCCTCCCCTCCCCCCGCTCGGTGAGTGTGGCTGGCATGGGAGCCAGGGGGCGGACCGGGTGCATTCAGAAGGCCCAGGCCCCCAAAAGTTATTTTTCTCTGCAGCCTCCACGAAGCAGCAAAGATTAATTTACTTTTCCTTGGGATCATTAATTTTGCAAACCAACATTCAGAGGGAGTTTGTCGAGTATTAATTTAGAACCTCCTGTCCTGGAACAGCAAACCTGAGGAAGGGAAATTGGAAGCATCTGAGGGGCCCGGGATGTCCTCACAGGTAGTCAGCCCAGCTGGGCGAAATGGGGCAGAGTGGGTTGTGGGCCCAAGAGAGAGGCAGAGGCAGAGGCAGAGGCAGAGAGGGAGGTTTCTCTGCTCAGGGAGCCAGCAAACCTTCCAGCACACCCTTCCCCACCTCCTTGCTCTCCAGGCCCAGTTGCTGGCCACGGGCTCTGCAGAGCCTCATTCAGCCCGCCAGGCCTGCGAACTCATTTCCCTCTCCCTCCACTCTCAACCTCATCAACCGCCTCCTACCCAGGTCCTGGGCAGAGCACCTGGGGGTGGAAGGAGGAAGTGAATGTCACTGTTGGATACAATCCTTTAATTTTCTCAAGGGCCTTCTGGAAACCATGTTCCAACCCCCTTCTCCATCCCCATCTCCTGCAAACAGGATAAAGAAGTTTGCAGGAGGGCGAGGCAGCGCATCGCTGCCCCTCCAGACACAACGCGTGCACCTAGACTTACAGCTGGGACCAGCCTGCCCACTCCCTTATCCCTGCCTGTGCCAGGGACGCAGCACTTGGGAGCGGGGATACAGGCACGATTCTCTTTCACGTACAGTTCCAAGTCTGTTCTCTAAAAAAGATGACAGCAGTTTTTAGATGTGGGCTTATCATGGCTGTACGGCTCAGCCTCCTCCTCAGAGCCAGAAAAAATAGAAAAAGATCTTGCTCCACACCCATCTTCCACGGCTCCTCTTCAGGGAAGTTTCTCTTCCAGTGCCTATGTTTTATCAAATACTCATACACAGCTTCCGTTATGAAACACCACTTCTTCTTGTGAATAATGGTGACACTGGGTAACTTTCCGCCCTTCCTCTCGCTTTTAAAGATGGGACGTGCCAAGATAAACCTGAAATGATTCAACTCTCCGTGTGGCTCTTCAGCCTGCCTTTCTGAGAAGCCGTCATTTCTGAGATGCCGCCCATCCATTCCCCGTGCCCATTACCCATTTTTCACTCCGGCAGAGGGGATTGTGATGATTGAAAATGATGGGGAACCTTTCCTTCTCTTCAGTATCCTTAATGTTCTGGCTTTTCATTTCCCTCAAGGTTACTCTAACGGGATCATCCTTTTACCACAGCCCAGTATCTCCCATCCTAACTCAATTTAGCGTCTACATTTAGAGTCTTAATTCTGAAGTGTCCGTCACTGGTTTCATCCCCTCCTTCAAACATGGACAGAAAAAGCTTACATGCTTTTCATAAGCTTGTGTAGTCTCCTCTGACCTGCCTTGCTGCTTCAGAAATGGGAACATCTTGCTAATCCAGCTGCAAATTTTTTAGCAAAGCCGAGTCCTACCTGCTCGTCTTCCAGCTAATCCATCATCACCAGAGCCGTGATGGTCCTGGAATATAGCTTTATGAGAAATTGCAGCTGACATGCATCACAAAGTCCAAGCAGCGCCTCTGCAGGGTACTTTATTTAGCTCCAGCCCTTTAATCTCTGCTCAGACGGCCAGGTCAGACTCCGCTCTCCAGCCTCCTTCCTAACCTCCCTAATTCACGTCTCTCTCCTGCTTGTTTGCAGTTCTCCCTGTACTGAGAACAGTGCTTCTCGCTTCGGGCTCCGCCAGAGAACTTTAAGAAACAAACACAGAAAGCCACCAAAGGCTGGGTCCTGGCCTGAGACGTCATTGCTCTGGCTGCAGCCCGGGCCCAGGGGGCCAGAGCCCTCCTGGCAATGCTGACAGGCAGCCGGAGTTACAGACCTCCGAAAGGAGCCATCTTCCAAACCACACTGACACCCAGCCTTCCCAGAACACGGAGGGGGCTCCACATTACCTCCAGTAATCAAATTAAAACGCCTAATCCTGCGCTTTAAGTCTCTTTGCCAATTGACTAGAATAGTCCCCTTTCAAAACAGCTTAAATTTATCTCCTTCCGAAAGCTCTTCCAGATTAGTCTCACCTGGCTGCCTGAAGATTGCTGTCCCCCCTTCTCCAGGCGTTCTACTGGCTCTGGTGTGTGTGCAAGCCCTTGGACCAGAGCGGACGGGCCTATCGCTGTTGTAATCTAGCTCTCGGGAATATCTGCCAGAGCTTTCTTCTTTCTTTTTTAAATATATTTTTTGATTTTATACAGAGAGAGATAGAGAGTTAGAAACATCGATAAGAGAGAAACATCGACCAGCTGCCTCCTGCACCCCCCCCCCCCCCAGGGGATGTGCCCGCAACCAAGGTCCATGCCCTGGACAGAATCGAACCTGGGACCTTTCAATCCACAGACGGACGCTCTATCCACTGAGCCAAACTGGTTTCGGCTGTCAGAGCTTTCTATGGCACCTACATCTCTCTGCATCCCCACTAGGTCAACAGACGGTCTCAGAATGAACAGAAATGCCGTTAAAAAAATGTATTGGTTTGAGAGAAAGAGATCTCCATTTGTGACGTTGTGTTGTGTGTGTTTTTGTTACTCCTCACTAGAGGATATGTTCCATTGATTTTTAGAGTAAAAATGAGGGGAAGAGACAGGGAGAGAGAGAGAGAGAGAGAGAGAGAGAGAGAGAGAGAGAGAGAGATAGATCAATTAGTTACCTCCTGCTCATAGCTGAGGAATGAGTCTACAACCAATGTACTGGCATATGCCCGTTACCAGAATCAAACCCCAGACCCTTCAGTCCACAGGCTGATGCTCTGTCCATTGAGCCAAATTGGCTCGGGCAGAAATGTCATTCTTAGCAAGACTTTCTCCTATCTATAATACATTCCCTGACACAAGGGCTGTTCATTCTTTTTAGAAATTTTATTGCTACAATTAAAGCCAACAGTTTCAAGAATTTACATGTTTGGGTGTTTTTTGTTGTTGTCTCTTACAAAGGAAAAACTATTTCACTATATCTCCCTGACTCTCTCTGTCACCATTCATCTACTGTGGGCCTTGGAATTGGCTTCTACACCCACCTCCATACTTAAGCTACTCTTTGCATCACAACTGATATTTTCATTCACATGTTTATTCATTCATTCATTCACTCATTTATTAGTGGTAAATGCTGGGAATAAAATAATCAACAATATCAACTTACCCCTCCCTAACGGTGAAGAACAATAAGCAGTTCAAGTATCCTGGGATAGTGCTATGTTAATAGTCTTAACCAGACACAATGGAACAGTGGGGAGAGTCTTTGCTTAGGGTTCAAGCAATCCAACCTCTCTGCAAGAGTTTGAGGTTAACTCACACATCCCCACCTTATAAACCTCTCTTTTCCTTCCACTTCCATCATACTATACAACCCGGGAATGCTACTTCTCTGAA